GGTTAACACATTGCTAACAAATACACTTGTCATGGTATCCATGCACAGTAGTGCCTTTGCAGTGACTGTTAGTGACAACATAGCTCAGCTACCAGCGGCAAGAGCAGAAAYCACATTGGGTCCAAGTTTTGCAGTAGCCCATGTGATATAATTCCTCTCCACAAAAGCTGAAAGCAAGGCATGAGAATTATGCTGCTAATTCACTATTCAGTGCAGCATCCCTGCAGAGGTCTCAATCCCTACAAACGCCATACATTTACCAGGTAGTAGCATAAAATTCCTCTACTTTTAACAGCTGTTACAGCACATCTGAGATACTCATCAACTGCCCAGACAAAACAGACTGCAGAAGAAAGCAGTTCTGGCTGATGACACAATCTCTCCAAACTTCAGACTCTGCCAACTAGTTCTTGTTCTTTGACCAAAGCGAACATTTTTCTCCAATAGTTTTAATTATCCTGYGAATATCCTGAACTAAAATAAAGAGAGCAGGAACTACTGCTAGCCAGAACTAACTTGCAGATCAAAAGATAAAAATAATCAAAAGATTAAAATAATCTGAAAAGGCTAAAAGCAGAACAGTTTTTGTCTGTTAATATGCATTTTGTCTGTTAATATGTTAAGATGCAGAAGCCAAAATAAGTATCAGTGCCCCTTCTCATCTGCACAGTTCAGCTTCTCTCCCCAGTACTGACTGCCTTCCTCCAGAAAAATACACATCAGAACCATTTACAGAAAGAGGGCACAGATTCAAGCTTCTCTCTCCTCAAAGCTAGTCTATAGTACGCTTTGGGGGCACTAGTTCTGTCAACCATACGTAAGGCATAGTCCACATGGCAATCCCAACACACAGACTATTGGGAGCCATGGGTTTTCCACTTAGTTTGGTAACAGTATCAAAGACATCATCAACAAGCTTCAAAGACATTGGGAAATACAATTTTAGAACAGGATGCAGCAGAAAGATACAGTTTGAGAAGCCTTGATATTCAAGGAGATGCTCTTGTCAGCCCTAACAACTGCAGCACTGACACCACTTTAGAAATATACCCTACTAATGTGTCATTAACCACGAAGGTAACTGCATATTCTACACCCTAAAGTGTACATTAGCAGGAAGCTTGGACCCAAGCTATATTCTGCTGCTGAGAAGATTAAACTGCAGTCTTGAACAGAATAAGAAAAGGAAGGGCAGCTAATGTAAAAGCTTCTGTATTTTGAGATTTTAACACAAAGTCCTGTTTGCAATTCACACACAGATCAGTGTACTTTCTTCTGTTGTCTGTAAAGGTCTATGGACACAGCAATCTTCCTAAGTAAAAACTGCAGTAACCAAAGAGCCAGTAAGGAAGAAGTTCTCAACAGAGAAGGGTCAATGTGTCACAGAGCAGCCCTRTGAGAGGTGACTTACAGAAACAAAGTTCAAGATCACCATCCAAAAACAGAAGCTTGAGCACCCTGATACTAGCTTACACCCCACTACTACTTTTCTTTGCAAGTCTGAGTTCAGGTGAAGATCTGGCTTCCAAGCTGGCCCTTGTGGATAGTAGCTATAGTTGTAAGTTTGTTATAATGAAGAACTCGTTAAAGAGACGCCAAGGGAATCACCAATCCTTAGSAAGTGAAAGAAGTTTAGCACCAGGTCATCAATGTTTCTTTACTATGCTCCAAAAAATTATTCTCTTACTTTAAAGAGTCTTGGGAAGACATCAGTTGGCTGCCCTCGCACCACAAACAAGCGAGAGTTCAGTTTCCTTAAACTGTTGTCCAGATCTTCCAGAGACTGAAGAAGAAATCTGCAGAGAAGAAAAAACAGCAGTTAGTGTCAGTCAGATGGACTACAGCTAAAAGGCAAATGAGAATTTGCATGGAACTCYGGCAAATCTGCATAACGAAATCAAACTGGAAGTTCGGACAAGAACCAGGAAACAAAAATTCATATTTATCCTTGGTCTGTCTAACGACTTCTRTGAGACTGCAGCACCAGCCAGCTCCCATTCACTTACATGTAATTTGTGCTGGTCCAGATTCAAGAGGTGTCCAGGACTTTCTTCTTACTGCAACTCACTTCCCATGTTCTCTCTCAAAGGTGGGAGAACACCCCTGATAACTGCCCCTCTCCTCATTACATGGAGAAAAGTATAAACGGTGTAATTCCCTACTGTACATTTTTCCACAGACTTTGAGKCAAGGAAGGATTTTTCATGTGAAGTAGAAAATTTCTGATGCATTACTCCAAGGAAAGTAATGAAATACTGCAAGAACTATGCAGGTTTTACAGTTCTAGCTACAAATATGCCATGTCACACCAGAGAAATGTACTCTCCTAGCTCACCAGTAGCACAAGACAGAGCACCAAGATCTCTGAGGCAAGAATCATCTATACTTTGAATAACTGTAAAGAGAATTGCAGTTCACCTTGTACCATGAAGGCACAGATAGGAGAGCATACCAAGACATTCATCAATTCCCTCTCACCTCAAAACTAAGAAGCCATGTAAATGCTTTCTGCATTTAACTGTATGTCTTTCTGATCCCTCACTACGCTATAAACCACCAAATGTATAATCTTTGCTTTTCCAGTCATACATATCACCCAATCAACATAGTAACTTCACTTTGTTTTGTCTAACTCTGCAAAAGACACCAGCTTTAAAATTTTAGTCTTTCCTCAGCACCTGGCACTGCTGGAAAACACACAACCCTTTGTGAGTGAGCCTGCCAATCCTTACCTTTCCCTCACTCCTACATGCCCACTCTGCAGCCTCATCTGTGAAATGTGAGTAGCTGCCTCAGCTCCCCAAAGGCCATGCACAGGTGACGAAACCTAAGCTACAATTGCACAGCAAAGTGGGAACTTCTCTCTCCTCAGTTGCACTGCCCATAACGTGAACTGTGAACTTCCAGATAAAACAAGTTCCCTCTGCACTTCCTGAGGGCGAAAAGGGTGCAGAGTTCAAGGAAAGAAGGGTACTGTATCACAGAGGAGAACACCCAGAACCAGGTCCAGGCAACCTAAACAAACCACTCCCTCTGCCCCAGCCCACTTTTCATCTATTAAATACAAGCACCAGCTCTCCCAGRTGTTCCAAAAATTTTAACAACAATTAGTCCTATACAGGCTCACACACCTGTGCAGTTAAATAACAAGGGATTTTCAACATGGTAAATCTGTAAGAGCTAGGTAAAACACAAGTATTTGCCTTTGGAGAACAGTACTCTGAATACAAGCATTTGGATTTAAAAAAATCAGCAAAACAAAGCCAAGGCTCCCAGTGGGAACAAATGGAACTTCAGACAAAGTAATTTGCTATTATGTTTTTTGCCTAACGGCCAGTGGTGTCAGTTTCTGACATCTGCAGTAGTTACCACCTTAGAAAAGAAAACACTACTTTTAAAAACTTCACTTGCCCATATATTCCATGATTACAACATAGTAACTGCTTCCTGCCCTTCGCAATGTTGGTGGAAACAAACACGGATTAAACAGATCAGGAATTAATCTGTTGTGGCACCACTTTGGTTCTTCCAAATGAGGACAGTCAGCCAAGACAGCAGCACGTGMAACACATTTCTGTTTGCTGCTGTCTGTAGAAAGCCTGGTCTACGGAAAGACCATTTCAGATGCCTATGACAYTTAGTTAGAGAATTCACAATTTTCTATGAGTTAATTTCTGCACGTTTACAATTTTTAAGCCATCCTCTGCTGTGGGGTTTTAGATATCACCCATACAATCCCATTCCTTGAGATGAAGTTAAGGTGTACAGCAGAGGCAATAAATTACAGCTAGTTTCCCTAGTGAACAGCCACGTGACATTCCCAAGAGCTCTCAAAGGATCTTTAGCCAGGTGGTTGTCCTGACGACTTCCTCTGAGGGGGCAGTGGGAGATCTGCTTCACTTGWATGCAAGGCAGTTGTGGCCAAGAGAATCCCTACATGGGTTGCGGTTCCAAATGTTTAGGCTGCTCAGACCTGACACAACGGCATTATGTAATGTTACTGGCTACAGGTACATGAAGTCTTGTCCTCTGCACAGACATGGCTCATGCTATATATCCTTCCATTTGTAGAGAAGGGGGAAAGCCCACATAGCTTCATTTCTACCTTCTTAGCAGCAGCCGATGTGCATTTCCCTAAAAAATCTGAGGGAGGGGAGAAAGTGAGCTGCGTGCGCACATGYCTACGCGCGCCCGGCAGCCAAGGGTCAGAGGCAAGGCGTGGTGCGCCCACGAAGCTGAGGATTCTTTGCCCTTGTGTCTAAATGCAGAGGAAAGCGTTTCCTAAAGCTAAATATCCATCGGTTGCTGCTCTCATACACTTGTCCTACTGATAAGGAGAAAGTCTAATAACATTACATAAAGTTGAAGGCATCCTCCCACACAGCCAGGCAGCACCGCTGAGAAAACCTCGGCGAGGCCAAGCGGACAAGGCACAGCCGCTCTCTCGCGGAAAGAGCCCGACATGGAAGCGTGTACTGCCAGAGCCTGACCGACAGGGCCTACGCCGCGCCCAGAACGCTCTGGTGCGGCGGGAGCCTCCCCGCCCCGCACGCTCCCGCCCGCGGCCCGCAGGCCCGGTGCCACTCACCGCCAGCGGTTGATGCCCACGGCGGAGGAGGCGGCGAACCACGGGTCCAGGATATAGATGCACCGAAGGGACGTGGCGTCCCGCAGCGCTTCCTGCAGCGCCGGGTTGTCGTGGAGCCGCAGCCCGCGGCGGAACCAGTGCACGGAGCGGCACAGGGCCGG